TTCCTTCTTCCAAGGCGTCAAGCTGAAGAAACCTAGCCCGCACACACATTTCCTCTTTCCTTGTATTTCTGTCTCGTAGCCTCTATAGAAAACTGAGCTCTTGTTCATGCCAGCTACTGGGATGTGGTTTGGGTCAGAATTATCTACTCTTTATTCGAATAGCTCCCTTCCCTCAGCTCTCACCCCAAAGTCAGTTCCTCTCAATGAGACTCTGGTTTATCTCAGACATTAACTGGGAATGTGGGCAATAACTCACACTAGGGAATCAACTTTATTTTATTTTATTTTATTTTTTATTTAAGACTTTTTTATTCATTTTACAACCAACCTCTCATCCCTCCTCCCACTCCCCTCCCCTAGTCCCACCACCACCACACACACACCTCATCCCTTCCTCCAAAAGGATAAGGCCTCCCATGGGGAGTCAGCAAAGCCTGGTACATTCAGTTGAGGCAGGACCAAGCCCCTCCCCCTGCATCAAGGCTCTGCAAGGTATCCCACCACAGGAAATGGGCTCCAAAAAGCCAGTTCATGCACCAGGGATAGATCCTGATCTCACTGCCAGGGGCCACTCAAACAGAGAAAGCTACACAACTGTCTTCCATATGCAAAGGGCCTAGTCCAGTCCCATGCAGGCTCCACAGCTGTTGATCTAAAGTTCATGAGTTCTTTTTTTTTTTTTTTTTTTTTTTTTTTGGATGGAGTGCTCTTTATTATTCCATTGTGGGGAAACGCAAAACGTAAGTACAGAAGTTAAAATGCTAATTGAAACTAAATTTAGACCTGAAATATTTACCAATGTTGTATTTTAACCAAGCGTGACTTCATTATTTAAATGCTTTTGGAATGGAAGCGTTTTAGAAGTTCATGAGTTCTTATGAGCTTGGTTCAGTTGTCTCTGTAGATTTCCCCATTATGATCTTGATGCCCCTTGCTCATAGGATCCCTCTTCCCTCTCTTCGACAGGACTCCTGGAGCTCAGCCTGATGCTTAGCTGTGGATCTCTGCATCTGCTTCCCTCAGTTTCTAGATGAAGGCTCTGTGATGACAGTTAGGGTATGCACCAATCTAAGGTAATCTGTGGTGATATTTTATTTGTGCTGAAATGTGGTGATATTTTATTTGTATGTTAATAAATAAAGCATGCCTGGAGGTCAAGGAGGAAAAGGCCAGCCATTTTTAAGTAAACATAGAAGTCAGACAGTGGTAGCACATGCCCTTAATCAGCTCACGTGGCAGGCAGGGTGTCTGTGTGTTCAAGGACACAGCCAAGTGAGGTGACACACGCCTTTACTCCCAGTACCAACCATAGAGACCTGGAGGTCTGTACAGACAGGCAGTGAAAAGGAAGTGAGGTAGCTGAGCTAAGAGCCAATGAGAGGGCAGAACAGCAAGGCAATAAAGGCACAGGTTAGACAGGAAGTAGCTCCCTTTTGGTAGCTGCAGAGCTGGAGAGGTAAGGTTGGTGGCTGTCACTATTTCCCTGGTCTGTAAGGTTTTCACCCCTATATTTGGCTCTGTGTTCTTTATTTAATTAGACCATTTAGAAATTCATCTACACTAATCAGCTCTTAAATGTGTCTTCCAAGTTGAGTCAAGGTTTCTGGAATCCATAACAAGATGTATTGAGTTTCCCTAGAAGACTGTTACTTACCCTGGGGTGTCCCCTGTGATGGATGCTCTCTGCCAAGGGTAAGGTGAACAAGTGCCTCTTAGCTTCAGCCTCTTTATAATCAGAGATTTAGAGACTGTCCAACTAAAAGTAGTCAGGTTGAAATAAGCAAAAGAAGTTACAGAGACTAGAAGAAGGACTGGCATTGGGGATAAACGCTGAATCCTAGCAAACAAAGACTCTGGAAACAAAAATAAAATGTTCAGCTAGGAAAGATCTCCCATGCTCTTGGATAGGTAGGATTAACATAGTAAAAATGGCAATCTTACAAAAAGCAATCTACAGATTCAATGCAATCCGCATCAAAATCCCAACACAATTCTTCACAGACCTGGAAAGAAAAATACTAAATTTCATATGGAAAAAAAAAAAAAAAACAGGATAGCCAAAAGAATCCTGTACAATAAAACAACCTCTGGAGGCATCATGATCACTGACTTCAAGCTCTACTATAGAGTTACAGTAATAAAAACAGCTTGGTACTGGCATAAAAACTGACATGTGGACCAATGGAATCGAACTGAAGATCCTAACATTAATCCGCACACCTATGAACATATGATTTTCGACAAAGAAGCCAAAACTATACAATGGGAAAAAGAAAGCATCTTCAACAAATGGTGCTGGCATAACTGAATGTCAACATGTAGAAGACTGCAAATAGATCCATATCTATCACCGTGCACAAAACTTAAGTCCAAGTAGATCAAAGACCTCAACATAAATCCAGTGACTCTGAACCTGATAGAAGAGAAAGTAGGAAGTAGTCTTGAATGCATTGGCATAGGAGATCACTTCCTAAATATAACACCAGTAGCACAGACACTGAGAGCAACAATTAATAAATGGGACCTCTTGAAACTGAGAAACTTTTGTAGGGCAAAGGATAAGATCAACAAGACAAAACGACAGCCTACAGAATGGGAAAAGAGCTCCACCAACCCCACTTCTGACAGAGGGCCGATATCTAGAACATATAAAGAACTCAAGAAATTAGACATCAAAATAACCAACAGTCCAATTAAAAAATGGGCTATAGAGCTAAACAGAGAATTCTCAGCAGAAGAAGCTCAAATGACTGAAAGACATTTAAGGAATTGCTCAACATCCTTAGTCATCAGGGAAATGCAAATCAAAACGACTCTGAGATACCATCTTACACCTGTCAGAACGGCTAAGATCAAAAACACTGAGGACAGCTTATGTTGGAGAGGATGTGGAGCAAGGGGAACACCCCTCCACTGTTGTTGGGAATGCAAACTTGTACAGCCACTTTGGAAATCAATATGACACGTTTTCTTAGAAAATTGGGAATCAATCTCCCTCAAGACCCAGCTATACCACTCTTGGGCATATACCCAAGGAATGCTCAATCATACCACAAGGACACATGCTCAACTACGTTCATAGCAGAATTATTTGTAATAGCCATAACCTGGAAACAACCTAGATGCCCTTCAACTGAAGAATGGATAAATAAAATGTGGTACATATACACAATGGAGTACTACTCAGGAGAGAAAAACGATGACATCATGAGGTTAACAGACAAATGGATGGATCTAGAAAAAATCATCCTGAGTGAGGTAACCCAGACTCAGAAAGACAAACATGGTACGTACTCACTCATAGGTGGATACTAGATATAAAGCAAAGGATAACCAGACTGCAACTCACAACTCCAGGGAGGTTACCTAGTAAAGAGGACCCTAGGAAAGACACAGGGATCGCCCAATGACAGAGAAATATGAGATCTACATGAGCAAACTGGGGGTGGGGTGTGGGGTAATGAAGGGCAAGGGTCGGGAGAAAGAGAGTTTAGGGGAGCGGGAGGTCCCAGCTGGATCAGGAGCAGAGTGGAAGAACGGAGAGGGAGATACCATGATAAATGAAGACCCCAGGGAAATAGGAAGAAGCAGAGTGCTAGAGAGGTCCCCAGAAATCCAAAGATACCTCCCCTGTAGACTACTGGCAATGGTCGAGAGAGTGCTTGAGCTGACCTGCTCTGGTGATCGGATGGCCGAACACCCTGGCTGTCATGATAGAACTCTCATCCAGTGTCTGATAGAAGCAGATACAGAGATCCACAGCCGAGCCCCAGGTGGAGCTCCGGGAGTCCAATAGGTGAGAGAGAGGAGGGATTGTATGAGCAGGAGATATTGAGACCATGATTGGAAAAAGCACAGGGACAAATAGCCAAACTAGTGGAAACACGTGAACTGTGAACTGAGCTGAGGACCCCCCATGGAACTGGACCAGGCCCTTTGGATAAGTGAGACATTTGATAAGCTTGAACTGTTTGGGAGGCCCCCAGACAGTGGAGTCGGGACCTGTCCTTGGTGCATGGGCTGACTCTTTGGAGCCTGGGGCCTATGCTGGGACACTTTGCTCAGCCTTGGTATAGGGAGGAGGGGACTGGACCTGCCTTGGCTGAGTCTGCCAGGCTGGGCTGGCTCCCCAGGGGAGACCTTGCCTTGGAGGAGGTGGGAATGGGGGTGGGGGGGTTGGATTGGGGGAGGCTGAGGGTGGGAGGAGGAAGGACCGGGAATCCATGGCTGATGTGTGAAATTAAGTTAATTATAAAATAAAAAGATTTAAAAAGAAAATAAAAAATAAAATGTTCAGCTAACTTAATAACCCCACAAGCAGGAAGGTTTACGACTCCACAGTATGTTTCAGTCTTGGTAGCCTTTGATATTTCACTCTAGCTTTTGCTAGATGCTACTAGATGAAGTGCATACTGCATTGAGAGCCAAGCTTCCCCAGGCAGCTCCCTCCAACGTTTACAATAAAGAAGCTAAGGAAAGGAATAACACGATCTAAATAACACGATTTAAATAACATTTAAACATTTAAATAACCACCTGTGAGAAAAAGAAATAATAACACTACGTGAACTTCTAATTTTTCAGCAACCTTAACCATGTAAGCATGGCAGAGAAGGGGCGCCTAGGAGGGGAGGGAGCGCCTCCTGTGGAGGGAGAGCCTAGGCGCTCAGACACTCCGCCTCCTCTCAGAACTTTCTAGTTACCGAAACACACTGGGAGTCCCGCCCTTGGGAGTCCCTCCCACGCTGTGGCTGTCATCTGCCACTCAGCGGGGACTCTGGACCTTGTAGTCACTAGCCGCCTTTCATTTCTTCCCTTTCGGTGATGAAACCCAGGAAAAACTACCAAGCCCAGAAGGCACCGCGCGCCCCGGAGTAGGAGGAGCGGAGAGCGAGAGGGCGGGACTCGAAGGCCTCCCGGAAAGGATTCAAATTCCCAGGACTGAAATCGCGGGAGGAGCCGGCTCAGCTCCATTAGGTAGGAGAGACTGCCCTGTCCTTCGCGGGACCGGGACCTGAGTGCTCGATGGAGGTCGGTTGTTCGATTCTTCGGTCCGCACCGCCCTCGCAGCACACAGGGATGCGATTGCGCTCGGCCCGACTGGCTTGGGCTCCCCGAGAACCAGTCATGCCGGGTGATGCTCTTGCTCTGCTCCCCTACTCCTAGAGACATTTGACAGGGATCTAGTCTTGCCGGGCGGTGCTCTTGCTCTGCTCCCCTACTCCCAGAGACATTTGACAGGGATCTAGTCTTGCCGGGCGGTGCTCTTGCTCTGCTCCCCTACTCCCAGAGACATTTGACAGGGATCTAGTCTTGCCGGGTGATGCTCTTGCTCTGCTCCCCTACTCCCAGAGACATTTGACAGGGATCTAGTCTTGCCGGGCGGTGCTCTTGCTCTGCTCCCCTACTCCTAGAGACATTTGGCAGGGATCTAGTCTTGCCGGGCGGTGCTCTTGCTCTGCTCCTTTACTCCCAGAGACATTTGACAGGACGAGCGGGTAGAGGGGCTGAAGATGGGCCAGAGGTGGCGAGCACTGCCGGATCTTCCCGATGACCTAATGTTTACTTCCCCGCACCCACAGAGGGGGCTCGCCACTGTCTGTTCCTCCAGTTCCGGGATCCGACGCCCACGTCTGTCTTCACCGGGCACTGCACGCACGTTGCGCTCAGACTGACATGCAGGCAAAACACCCATACACATAAAAACAAATCTTTGAAAGGTGGGTGGAAGGGCTCAAAGCTAACTTAGTAGTTCGGCGAGGTTGGTTCAAAAAGAAGAGGCATAAATAGGATAGTTTTCCAAGCATCCAACAGAAATGATTTAGAAGATTCCTAGTGAGCTTTTTGGGAAGATGACCGAGGAACCACAGAATGTTCACTTGAAAAACTTCTGCCTCTTGTGGAATTCCTTTGGCAGAAAGAAGCATTTTGTTCCTAATGAGAAGCTAGGAGAAACGTTTGAATGTAGTGTAACCTCCTCCTAAAAGGAGTTTCTTTCCAAAAATGCTGCTTTGGCTTTGGTTTGTATCAGTAGCGGGAGGGGAGGAGGTTCATTGCAAATATTTAATCTTGTGGTTTTTTTTTTTGTCGTGTTTTGCCCACCAAGTTGTTTTCTATTTTGCAGAGCCATCTAGTGGAAGCCCCCTGTTCAGTACAGACGTCACAGTTCCAATCACAACCAATTTGTATCATAAACAGCCTATCCAAAGCCAGTCACCATGATTCGGTAACTAAAAATCTTGAGGAGTACATCTGGAAAAGGGGATTGTTATTAGCTGAGTGAAGAGATATGTAGATGTACCTCAAGTTCCTGTTGTACCCTGATTCCCTATTATAAAGGGACGTGTAAATAGTATAGACAGATTGTACGTAAACACAAATTGTCTTTATACTGAAAAGTAGCTCAAGGGTGATGTACCCAGCCATGCTTCCAAAAGTTTGCACTGTGGTCTTGGAGAACATTAGCTGGAATCAGGCTTTAAGTCCATAGCCATATGCTATTCCTAGCTGAATTATGAACTATTTAGACTATAGTTGTCACTGATAGATTCAGGGACAGTTATCCTTAGCTCAAAATTATTCACATACAATAGATTAATTTCTAAAGCAGTACCCTTAAAGCTTAATTGAATATACGAGACTGTGTAACTATAACCAGGATTTCATCCTCGTTCGTTTTGGCTAAGTTTATGTCAAAAGCAAGCACCTGTCCATTTCATCCAAGTAATTAAACAGTTGTTATATAAATTACTAAAAATCCAGCAGGTTTGTGATTAAGTCAGATTGGAGGTGGTGAGCTCAATGTTAAAGCACCAGTTCACACACACATACTTTCAATAAATATTTGAACATGTCCTTAAAGTAGCCATTATCACTAAACTCAGTAAATACATAATGTGGAGAATCACTTCCCTTTTTTATATTAAGAAAAAAATTTTCATTCATTTTACACACCAATCAAAGATCCCCCTCTTCCCTCCTCCTGCATATCCCAGCCTCCCCACCCAACCCATCCCCCAATCCCACCCATGAGAAGGCAAGGCTTCCCATGGGGAGGCACATCCGGTAGAGGCAGGTCCAAGCCCTTCCCCCTGCCTCAAGGCTGCACAAGGTGTCCCATCATAGGTAGTGAGCTCCAAAAAGCCCCCTCATGCACCAGGGATGGATTCTGATTCTACCACCACCACCCCGCCCCCGAAAAAGATCAAGCTACACAACTGTCTCACCATGCAGAGGACCCAGGTAGGCTCCACAGCCATTGATTCAACTTTCATGAGTTCCCTTTTTTAAAGGTAATGTTTTCTGGGAGCAGCAAGAAATAGAATGTGTAGAAACAGCCATATTTGCTAAAGACGTTCAAAAAGAAGGGAACATATTTCTTGTCTCCCATGGACAATTCAGATATGCAGCCACTTGTTTTATTCACTCCACCTGTCTGTCTTCACAAAATACTTGAGAGACACGGCACGGGCTCCGTCTTGCAGACTGAGAGACTGAAGTCAAGAAAAGTAAAGTTCTTTAAATCATATCTCAAAACTTTCTGACTCAGAATAGAACGTGCGGTTTGGTCTGAAAAGGCTGAGTGTATTTAAACTTTGCCCTGTAGGTTACATATGAAGACAGTTGACTAAAATATCAAACTATGAAGGAAACTTCCACGAGAAACAATAATTTCAAAGTTCCTAGCACAGAATGAATTCTGCAGATGCTGAATGGGGAAGAACAGCGAGTCAAGGTGACTTCGTTGAGTGGTTGCCTCCAGAACTCACCGTTATAATCTTCAGCCAGCTAGACATTCAGAGTTTATGCAGAGCATCTGAGACATGCTGGAATTGGAATCTCACAATAAAGGAGAGTGATGAGATCTGGAAACTTCACTGCTTGACTATAAGAGCTGTGTGCCAAAGAGAAATAGATGATGACAGAAAAAATGGTTATACCTGGAGGGTGAGTTTAACCTTTGCAATTTGTCATGGTTTGAGCAGGGTTGTTGCAGCATAGTTAAGAGAACTCTGTAATTCTGCTTAGAGTACTACACAGAGTGTGTTGACTGTAGAGAAGGTCAGAGTTGAATCATGATGTTCTCTCTACTTGTCATAGTCTCCACACTGCCTTCCCCCAAGCCTTGTATACCTCTCAGATCTTGAAGTCAAGAACTTGTATACCTCTCAGATCTTGAAGTCAAGAACTTGTATACCTCTCAGATCTTGAAGTCAAGAACTTGTATACCTCTCAGATCTTGAAGTCAAGAACTTCCTTTGTTAAGCAGAAGGGACTTGAAGAAGTCCATTTCATTTATTCCACCTTATGAAAACAGTACATCCAAAGGGCTGCTCTCTGCATATACACTAATCCATACAAGCGCACATGAATTTATTAGTGTGATTATATGTTTATTTCCTTGTCAGTCAACTCAGTTCTGTGAATGAGTTTCTCTGCTCAGACATACTCACTGGCCAGCCACGCTGCCAGAGTTTTGAATGATGATGTCTATCCCTTTCAGGAAACATTTCTAAGAAATTACCAGAAGAGTAAAGTGAAGCGTGAGTGGCTAAGTGGCAGATACAGCAACATACGTTCTCCTGCAAACCTGCCAGAAAAATTTATGTGCCCAATGGATGCAGATACATGGGGGGAAATTCTAGAAGCAGAACTAAAAAGAGAAGTTGAAAAATCGCAGTAGACCTCGTGGTTTTGATGGTGCATGATAAAATGACTCAGACTGCAGGAGACTTTAAAATCGGGTAATGTTTTTCTCAGTTTTTAAAAAATATCTAGCACTTAAAAGAAAACAAAGTTGAATGTGAAGCTTTGTATTTTGCACTTTGAAAAAATTTTCAGGTTTTATGTTGTAAGAAATCATGAAATGTTAATTTATAAGAAATAATAGAGTAATAGATTTTGAAATGTATTGTTTCATGTATTTGTGTTAGACTATTGTATTAGTTTAAGTGGTACAATTTACTGTTATTTTCTGTTTAATCCTTCAACAATTCAGGGGCTACCTGAAGAAACTTATTTAAAGACTCATTTGATATAAATGAGATACTTATCTCATTTATATCAAGTGAGCCCAGTTGCAATATATGTAAACTAATATTAAAATTGCACATTAATAACTTTACAGTTTTTACTTAAGTGGAACAGATTGAATTGTCAAATAATGAAAACTATTTTAAAATGTGTTAAACCTAAGGTTTATTTAAACTTGATCTAATGTTGGAGCTGAAACTCTTAGATTAAGATTTACATTATTCAAAGTCTCAAAGGCTGAGAATGTGTGAAAAGCTTCAGAATATTTGACAGGACAATGAGAACCACCAAAGGCTGTGTTTTCCTTAGTCAACTGCGTCCCAACATCCTGATAGCGCCACCTAGTGGACTCTTAGATGCGTCTCCTTACTTAACAAGAAAACGTGTTCTCCAAGCACTATTTGATCTTGTTAAAGTGTATCTTTGTAGGGAGGGAATCTTTTTTCAACTTTGTTTCTCTTTTTTCATAAAAGGAGATTATGTAGCGACATTCCCTCTACCAGGTTATCCCACCTGAATCTGTAAACCATAGTAAAAAGTGTCTACAAATATGGTCATTTGTATGGGGTTTTCTATAGTTACTCTTCCTTACCATTCTGTTGTTATGATAAAGCATCATGACCAAAAACAGCTTATGGAAGAAGGAGTTTATTTAGCTTATCGTTCCGGAGCAGAAAAAGTCACTTCAAAGGAGGAAGTAGCAAGCATGGAGACTAGAGTCGGAAGCTGAGAAATCACATCCTCAGCAAAGAGAATGAAGCAGAGACAGTCAACTAGATGTAGGTGAGGCTTTAAGTTCTCAAAGCCTTGCCCCAGTGACACTTACTTCCTCCAGCAAGGCTGCATCTCCTAAACCTCCCCAAACAGCGCTACCAACCAGAGACCAACAAGTATTCAAATACCAGAGCCCTATGTAGAACATTTCTTATCAAACTACCACAGTTTCCTAGATTTAAAAAAATCTAGGAAACCAATGTTTAATAACTAACGATTTAGAAACTATACAGCCATCAGTCAATGCCCCATTGTATACAAATTTTTTTTGTTGCATAACATGGATGATTATCATCTCCTAGTATCTTAAGAGTTGGAAATGATCTTGAAAACCAGGCAGGGCAGTTTCCAGGACTATTCAGTAATTTCCCGTCAGTACACTGAGGTCTCAGAGGCCTGAGTTCAAAAACATCTGTTATAGTAATAGATGATATTATATATATATCGTAAGTCAGTACTCTCCTAGGATTGCTACAATCATTATAAATTCTCCTCAAAATGCAAGACCATCCGTAGCCTGTGTCTGTAGTCCTGTTTCTGCCTGCTAAGACGAGACTGATCTAATCCTTCTCTTCGTTTGCTATTTGAATACTTGAAGCCAGCTGGCCTCTCTTCCTATTATCTAATCTCCGTTCCTTCCCACTGTCACACGCCATCACTTCTAGGCCAAGCAGCACTCTCAGCTGCTCATGCCCTCTTAACAAATGTGTGATTGGGAAGGAAGATATCCTGCTGATTTCGTTTAGGAAGAGATCATTCAAAAGCACTTTGAAATCTTGAAAACACGGAAGTGAAGCAGTAACGCGTCTTAATGTATGACAACCACATGTACATGCCGGTGTTGTGGGCTGTCACCTTTTCCTACTAGTAAAGAATGCCCTAACCGGGGGGTTCACCCTTCTCACTCGTGGCCCCCTCTCTGCCAGCCTCTGTGTGGAGTGTGAGACTGGAACGTGACTGAACCCACCTCCTTCTTAAACTGGAAGGCGTCATGGAGAAGTGGGTCCTCAGTCAGAGAATACACATCCAACAGAAAAACAAAGGAAGGGACGAGAGGATTGTGGTGACGGGTCTGATTCAGCCAGTCCACCTGTCTAAATCCCTACAAATTGCACCAGAAACCCTACCCTGCCCACAGGGTTTTCCTACTGTTTTCAAGTGTGTAACTGTAAAAGTATGGTTTACGTTAGTGTCTTGGTTTTGCACTAGGAACCCCACCGGTAGGGCTTCCTTTGCCTATTTTTCAAGTATGTGATACTTGTAGTTTATGTTAGTGTCTTTGTTTTAGAGAGCTTAACCCTTGCTTCCTTAGTCCTGCCAGTTTTGTGTCCTGAGGTAATCCCTTGTCTCAGCTGTTCTCAGCATTCATTTCCTTCTCTGTCTTCTATAACTTGTTCTTCCCACAGAAATTGAAATTGCTACTAAGGCACAAGTAACTTACTTCCTAAATGTCTTTGATACATTCTGGTTGTTAAGTTGTTTGACGCTCAGTTCTTGTAATTCTTCGTTTGGAGGCAAGCATCTCGTTTCTCTTTTCACACTCTAACCAGTCTTTAAATTTCCTTCAGAGACACACCATCTATCCATTACATGTTGCTATTCGTGAAGGTTCAGACTGTGGTCCTCTTCTTACATCCTGAACATCTACTCCCCCATTACCATTACCATTGTTGGTGCTTGTGGGGTCTGTATCCATGACTCCACATCAGGTTTGCCCAGTCTCTTCCAGAAACACCCGTGCCAACCTGTTGGAATCATAGCTAAGTCACTATCACCAGAACCAGAGCTTATTAAAGCAAAGACTAGTTATTCTTTCGGCCTCTAGCCAGGAAAGTAGCCAGGGCTTCTAGGTAGTTAACACTATTTCTGATTTTCTTGTTCTGTGTCCATCCAGCCAAGAATCAGTTCTTCCTGGTTTAGTTATCTAAATATCTGAGCAGTCCAACCCTTCTCCATATTTTCTCCTCTTCGTTACGTCTTTTCCTTATTTGAAGTTGGTATGACTAAGATAACCTCCTAACTGGTACTCCTTCCTCACACTGTTGATAGATCATCCTTCCTAAGAGCCCTCAAATGAGCATGTCCCCTCTAACTTAGATCACTTGCTACTTTCAGGTAGAGAATGGCCTTTAGTGATGCACCCTGGCTTACCCCTGAGGCTTTTCTCTCACAACTTTCCCTTCCGTATCATTCAGTTCAGTCATACCCAACAGCGTTTGCAGTTACCTGGCCGTGCTTGCTCCCTTACCTCTGCCGCTGTGTGCAGGTTATGTGAGGATAGATGACACACTTTCAGGGTTCTCCCTTCCTCCACCATCAGCTCATGCTTGCTCCCTTACCTCTGCCTCTGTGTGCAGGTTATGTGATGATAGATGTCACACTTTCAGGGTTCTCCCTTCCTCCACCATCAGCTCATGCTTGCTCCCTTACCTCTGCCGCTGTGTGCAGGTTATGTGATGATAGATGTCACACTTTCAGGGTTCTCCCTTCCTCCACCATCAGCTCATGCTTGCTCCCTTACCTCTGCTGCTGTGTGCAGGTTATGTGAGGATAGACGATACACTTTCAGGGTTCTCCCTTCCTCCACCATCAGCTCTTGATTTGGCAAGATCTTCCACCTCTAAACCGTCTGAAGCTGTGTTGTTCTGGATTATGTTATTCTTCTAAAGTTCATATATATCTTTCTTTGTAACATTCTGCTCAAAAGCCTTCACACTGTTGAGTTGTCTGTTTGTCTACCTGCTGCTATAAATCGAATTTTTTAGTGACAGGTACCATGTTTTAATTTATTTTTCTGTCCCTTAAACCTTATTTTTATTAAATAAAATATTATTTTTATTAAATAAAAATAAGGTTTACTAGTTAAAATTTAGTTATTTGTTGTATTATTTTTATACATATGCAGAATGTACAAGAAAAATATATTGTCATTGGATAATGTAAAGTATGCATTGTTATAGTAGCAAGTTTACTATTTGTTAGTAGATTAAGTTCTATTGAAATGCAAAATAGAATTGCTGGAATGTATGAGACACTCAGTGTTAAAATGTAGATGATTGTTTTAGTCATCTTTAAAGGTGTAAGTGGAGCTTAAAGTTTTTGCTGTATTTTTAATAAACATTTGAAAATAAATTTAGTTTTAAAATATCACATCCTCACCGTCTTCTGTTATTAGCTACCCCAGTCAATTTCTAGAATTACCTTTGCAAGTTAAGTACATAAACCTTAAGTCGTTTTCTATTTTGTTAAAACAGTTCTTGAAGAACAAGCAACTTGACTGATGAGCTGCATGGTGAGGGCTTAAAGGGAATACTCATTTATCAGACCAAACCGTCTGTATCTGAGAGCATGAGTGGGTGGAGCCAAAAGGGAAGGGAGGCGTGCCGCATTAGTAGATAAACCACTGTGTGAAGGAAGCAAGATTATTGACAAGAAGCTTGAAGTGTTTTTCCAGTGTTTTTCAAAAAATTCATGATCAGTTGGATTTACTATTTAAAAATAAACTTAGAAACCTTTCTCTGTTATTTCTGGTAACCCGGTCTTGGAAAATTATCAGTAGAAAAAAATCCATACTTTAAGATACTTGTATATGTATAAACCTAATTTGAAGAATATAGCATATCCTCAACATTTTAATTTCCCTTTTGCTGTGACTTTGTGTTACCTGTTATCTAAGACTTAAAATGTCCTAACATTATTAGCAAAAATAAATTGGGTAATAACATCAAGAAACAAGCCGAGAAGAGTACATAAGGTGGGCAATCATGTATTTTTATTTAAAGTTAAGTTAAAATCCCTAAGATACCAAACAGATGAAATTGGATACAGTAACCAACATTCTGTGGATGCCCGCTCTGTGCCAGGTACTGAGCTTATGGGATGGGCACCCTTACTTCCCCTTCATTGTATGAATTCAGAGCTGAAAGATCTTGTAGTATAGTTGTTGCCACTGTAAGAGTATGTGATGTATGGTGATTGTTCAAGTGAGTTTGGATGATATGAATGGTTACTGCTCAAGTGAATTTTAATACTTAGAATGAGCAACTGATGAAGGACCAAGAATGTTATAGGGCCTTTATATTTTGAAAACTTTCAAGCCCACAGGAAAGCAAATACAGTAATATATTATATGAGATGATATCTATATATGTGTGATATATGATATAGATATTATATATCTATATAATGTCTGTATATTTCTATATAGAGACATGTTTGTCTACATATAGACATACATACATATATATACACATCATCATACAGATGTGAGTTAACATGTGTTGTATTTTTTTTTATTTTTGCTGAAGTATTTTTTCAAAACTGATACTTCCACCCTAAATAGTTCAGCATGGATCTCCTAAAGATACTCTCTTATATGCACTATCATTATTTCTAAAAGTGCTTGTTCTTTTTCTTTCTTTTTTTTTTAAGATTTATTTATTTATTATGTATATAGTGTTCTGTCTGCTTGTATACCTGCAGGCCAGAAGAGGGTGCCAGATCTCATTACAGATGGTTGTGAGCCACAATGTGGTTGCTAGGAATTAAATTCAGGACCTTTGGAAGAGCAGCCAGTGCCCTTAACCGCTGAACCATCTCTCCAGCCCAAAGTACTTATTCTTACTGTCTAATTTACAATCCATTGAAAAGTTCCCCATGGCCCCCAAAATATCCCTTATGGTTTTTTAAAATTTTATGTCCAAATAACATTTTGCATCTGGATATCTCTCTCATCTCTCAGTCTCTCTCACCCTCCCTCCTTCCCTGCTCTCTCTCTCTCTCTCTCTCTCTCTCTCTCTCTCTCTCTCTCTCTCTCTCTCTCTCTCACACACACACACACACACACACACACACACACCTCTCAATCTCACCCTTCCTCTGTCCCTCTCCCCCTCCCATTACTGTTTTGTTTTTCAAGATATTACCCCCTTTTTAAAAGATGATTATCTTATGGACCATTCCCTATCTGATGCTGTCTTTATGATTTGATTCAGATGAAAAATGTTTGGCAATATTTCTCTAGGAGGCTGAGAAGGTAAGAAAAGAACCTCTGTGAAGCAAAGGGGATTTTTTTACAATCTCACAGTACTGAAGACACAGTGGTTACAGCTGAAGACCTAGTAGGTAGGTCTAGAAGTAGAATTGCATGAACAACTAAAGTTCTCCATGGAAACCTCTAGGGAGCTCCACACAAAGGCTCCAACTTCCATTCAGTTGGACTCTGGATTTTGTGAAGGCAGATAAACCCACTGCTCCACAGATGACAGGGTGAGTCCTGGCTAGAAGATGATGTCCCTCGGAGCCACTACAATTACCTATGTACAGCACCTGCATTAAAAGGAAAAATACTAAGCTTAAAAGTAATGAGGAAAAAAAGAAAGTAGACCATAGAGCCAGAGTCACAGGATCTAGCTGGTGGAGTTTATTGGTGATTTGGAAATAATGATAATAATGTGTTCAGGCAGATAGGAAAAAAATAGATGAAGCTAGATCAAAATAGAGTCTTTTGCCAGAAAACTAGAGGATTGGAGCAGGAGAGGGAGGGGAGACAGAAAGCCACAACTACAACGTAGGGTGAAGTTGAAAAGAAAAATGGGATATTATTTTTTTAAAAAAAGCTTTTAATAAATTGAGAAATAGCACCTGCCTTTGCCCTGCTTGAAGCCTTCCAGAGGGTGCCATTGCTTCAAGGCCAACACCAGAATAAAGCAGATGCCTCACATTTCTGTTTCACAAAGGATCTATTATTTTATTCTCTTCTAGCTGTCCTCTCAACCCCAACTTCTCTACCTTCCATAAAGTTCCCATGTGCCTCAGCCCTACTCTCTCTCTCTCTCTCTCTCCCTCTCTCTCTCTCTCTCTCTCTCTCTCTCTCTCTCTCTCTCTCTCTCTCTCCTCTCCTCTCTCTCTCTCTCTCTCTCTCTCTCTCTCTCTCTCTCTCTCACACACACACACACACACACACACACACACACACACACACACACACACACACACACTGGTCTACGTAGGACCCCTAGATGGTGTCAGAGAACCCATAGTGGTAACTGGTCCTCTGAAAGTTCCAGGGCCTCCTGAGGCCGGATGGGTGGTCTTCAGGGAGAAGAACCACACTGACTCTGCTCTTCAGAGACCCAGAAGTTGGGAGCTGTCCCCTCCACTGATACTTAGGCATGGGGCATTCCATAGGCTAGTTGGTCTTGGCTGTTGGAATGGTAACTCACCTTTCTCCACGTGTTGCAACAAGCTCTCCCTTCACTTGTTGGCCCCGAGCGTTGGTGGATCCCAGGCTCTTGTCTACTACTGAGCCCCAGATCTTCATCTTCTGGACTAACTGCTGTCTCGGTGCTGTCTGGTTCCTTAGGAGGGATCCACATCTTCATCAGATTGTGTTCTCGAACTGTTGGTTCTCCCACATACTCCAATAGCTCTCCACTGTAGAATTTCCCTAGCTCTTCCATAAGGCAGGCATTTGGCTGGGAGATCTTGCCTTTCCCTGTCAAAGTCCCAGGGACTTAAGCTGGAGCACTGTCTCTGCCAGCGCCCTTCCCTGCATAAACAGGTTTAAAACAGATAAAACCTTTGGCCTTGTTTGTCTTCCTTTGTCTGCCTAGTTGACACCCAGAGTGACTTCTAGGGTACTAAGGCATCAAAATGCTAATGGCTGGAGAACAGGTCTGATGTGGGTTTGTAATGCTTCTGCCTCGATGGATTGTGACTCCCCACCCTCTGCTCTGAAAGATGCAGGATCCTCAAGACATTGGAACTGAGATGCTTTGGGTCTTCCAGATTCTTCCAGGGAGTGTCACCCTAAGTTAGCATATTCCAGGCTTGCAGCCCACACTCCAGGGTGGGTGACAACTGGGCACAGAGGAGGTTCTATTCACCATGGGTTCTGATCCCACAGAACTGACAAACCCCCTGTTTCTACACCCTTCTAGGCTCCCATGAACAATGTGCCCTGCCCCTTGTCCTTGTCAGGGTTTTTCCCTTCTCCCCCTGAAGGGTCTCAAAGTGACACTGGTGTCCCTGGGTCAGCTGAGTCATGGCTAGGCTCCTGGCTGGACCCATGGGGAAGATCAGGTTCAACTTATTGGCTGAATTACTGTTTCTTTTTTCTTTTTTTCGCCTCATGGGCCATTTTTGGGTGACAAAAATACCTGTTAGAATGAGTATATCTGTAATATTGTATGGGTAATATTACACCAAAATGTTCCTTTTTTAATCTGAAATTCAGCTTTAACTGGACCACCCATATTTAACTTAGCAATCTCAACTCTAAAAGACAGGGGGATGTGCTGAGCCTAAATTAATGTAGAAATGTCAGAGTTACTATTAATTGAAAAGGCTACGCTTACACAGTGCCCATCCCTATCTCAACTCCACACTCCTCATGAAACTAAAATGGCGACCTACGTAATCACATGGTGTCTCGGTCTCTTCCCGATATACTCTACCTGATGGGACAGCGCTTTGTCTTTTGTTCTCATTTTTATTAGAGTTTATTAATTGTGCAAACCAATGGGCTTCACTGACACTTCATACATATGATAGACTTTGATGATCTTAAATCCCTTGTATCCTATCCTGTTCCTCTTCTTCCACCTCTTGAAGAACCAAAGCACCCCCATTTCAAGCAAGCCCCTCACCCCAGCTTGAAACAGGCCTGAGTTTTGAAATTCTCAGAGCTGCTGGCATAGGTCCCAGGACAAAGTCAGGATGTTTGAAGAGCCATCTGGTAGCAACTGATTGACCATGGAATGCCCCAATGCTGGAGATGGTCAAAAGTACAAGGTCAGGATGTTTGAAGGACTATGTGATAGCAACTGATTAACCACAGAATGCCCCCAATGCCAGAGGTAGTCTGTAAAGTTTGACAAACAACTGGTTTAAACTACAAAGTAAGATAACACAGAAATTCTGGAAAGCCCCTAAAACTTGAGCCAATCAGAATTGTACCCGTACTAGCACCCCTAAATGATGTAACCTTGTGGTTTTTGCTTTCAAAAACTGAGCTTGCAGAGGGGCGGGCACCTCCTCCAGCCTCTACTGTGTTGCATGGCTTGAACTGCTCCAATAAAACTTGCTTTTGCA